GGCGTGCAGGCTCGCACAGGCGCCGGGAGACTCCCACACGGGACCCGGACCGAACACGAGAGCCACACACGCCGCTCTCGGGGCCGGGCCGAGTTTCCTTTGTTTCCCGGGACCTGCCATCTTCCCCCCGAAAGAGAAGTGGGGCTCCGGGCGCCCGGGACAGCGCCAGCCCCAGCGCCGACTGCGGACGCACCGCGGCGGGGTCCCTGGCGCTCGGTTTGTCAGATGCCCGCCGTGGAGTCGGGGGACCTGAGTGGGCTGGGGCGGGCAGGACAGGCCCCCCGCGGACCGGGACCGGGGATCGCGGGGACCCCGGGTGCACAGAGGTCTGCGATCGGCCCGGGGGCGCCCCGTCCCCCAGCCGCTGGCTTTGTTGCAGGGCAGCCCAGGTCCGCATCCTCTGGGCAGCTGGGAGGCGCCGCGGGCGCGGACCGAGGCCGGACATTACAAAGGACAGGGTTTCGGTCACCTGCCCTCCAGCCTAGCTCGGGGACTGGACGGGGTGACGCCCCGCCCGGGACTCCTGACCCCTTCCTGGGCGCTTCCCTGCCCCCTGGGGGCAGCACCACTCCCACCCCAGGGTCCGCCTGGAGCCGCGGCTCCCGCGAATCCCCACCTCCCGAGCCACACTTCTTCCGTCTCTGCTGTTGCGGTGTACTTGTTTGTCACGCCTTTAAAGAGCAGACGCTTTCCGGGATAACGCCACTACTTTTCCACAGTTGCCATTAAATAATTTAACGAACTGGCGCAAACACATTAGTCATCGTTCTGCAAATTTTAATGGAATATTTTTTCAAATTATTTTATTGTGAAGCCCTTAAAGCAAAACTTGGCATCATTCTACCGATGGGATATTTTCTGGTTTAAAATTTTTAACTTCTGGGCCGGATCCCTTTTTATTTTAGGTTCAGCCCAAGGTTTTCTTTGTTTTGTGTTGTTTTTTTTTTTTTCCCAGTCTTTAAAGCAAAACAGATCAAGCCCAGGGAGGGTGTGAATTTGCTGGAATTTCACTTTTGCAGAACTGTCTGGTAAAAGCAAGGTTGGCTTTGTGAAAGCGAAGTGACAATGAAATCGGCAGTAGTGGCCTGCGACGGGACCTTTCTCAGTAACTTTCCACGCTCGGTGTGCTTGGGAACACAGGAATTTCTGTTGAGCACCATTGAACTGTCCAGTTTCACAGTTACCAGTTACCACACTGTATAGAAATGCAGCGTCTCCGCCCAGCTGGCCAGTCCTCTCCCCAGGCTAAAGAAGGACCAGTGGCAACTCAGAGGGCCCGCCCTTCACAGCATGCTTGTTGAACTAATGCTGGTATTTATAGGATCCATTTATTTTGTGCTTTATCCTCTCCTCCCTTCCTCCCCTCCTCTCTCCCACCGCTCCCCGCTCCACTCTCCCTCCCCTCCCCCCAACTTGCTATTAGCATAGGAACTGGACTCCCGGAGAGGTTAAGAAGGCAGCCTCTGGTGTCAGTCTGCCCCAGTTCCTACGCTGGCTGTTTTCTGTTTTTTGTTTTTGAGACAGGGTCTCACTATGCAGCCCAGGCTGGCCTTGAACTAGTGGTGATCCTCCTGCCTCAGACTTTTGAGTGCTGCTGTGCTACTTTTATTTGAGGCAAAAAGCCTCAGTTTGTTTATCTGTAAAATGGAGGTGATACCTTTATTAATGCATTATTAAAGTTTCTGTGTATGTATGTATGTATATGTGCGTGTATTATAACAGTGTCTGTGTTACAGTGGTAACTGTCACTTGGTATTTGCTCCTGCATGGAAGGTGTCAGGAGCCAGAGGTGCCCACCTTGTTTGCAGCTGTGTGATTCACAAGAGAAATATTAGGCTGCAAATAATACCCAAAATTAGTGAGGCACTTGGGATCTATGCTTTGAAAACAATCTCCTCTCCAGCCCAAGAGGCTGCATAACTCACAGACCAAGGCTCCCTTCCCCTTGGCTGGCGGAGGAATTGCCCCTGGGCCTCCTCCTGTGAATGCTGTCCAGGAGGCTAGCAGAGGGAGAAGCATCCTGGTTGCTGGCTGATCCAGATGGATCTTCTATACAGCTAAAAACTCAAGAAACCTGTTTGAAATTTTTCCTTTGGACCGGGCGTGGTGGCGCACGCCTGTAATCCCAGCACTCGGGAGGCTGAGGCAGGAGGATCGCTGTGAGTTCGAGGCCAACCTGGGCTACAAAGTGAGTTCAAGGCCAGCCTGAACTGGGTAGCGAGACCTTGTCTCAAAAATAACAAAAAAAAAAAAAAAGAAAGAAAGAAAGAAATTTTTCCTCTGGGCTTCTTTCTCTGCGGTTGGGGGCAGTTTTGATTTTTTGAGACAAGGTCTTGCTATGTAGTCCAGGCTTGCCTCAGACTTGCCCTGGACCCCTGGGCTGGCCTCAAATTCACGATTCTCCTGCCTCAGCCTCCACAGTGTTAAGATTATAGGTCTGTGCCACTATACCTGGGTTTCTTTTTTTAATTCTTTCTTCCTACTTTTCCTTCTTTTCTCCTGGTTTTCCACAGTGTATTTGCTTTTCCCTTAGCCGGTAACCGTTCATGCAACTAGACTAAATGAGAATCTTACCAGTCAAGTTTTTCTCTCCTTTTTCCAGCTTAGGTACTGGGGGTTGAATTCAGGGCCTTCACACTAAGGCCCTTTAGAGACAGGATCTTGCTAAGACACTAAGTTGCCCAGGCTGGGCTCAAATTTGCAATCCTCCTGCCTCAAGCTACCAGAGTGCTGGGATTACAGCCTGCACCCCCATACCTAGTTAAGGTTATGATCTTAACTGAGTTCATGTGTATATGAGCAGAGTGCTTGGCACACAGCAGGGACTCACTAAGCTGCCACTTCTCCAGCCATATTCATTATAGCGTGGCTTTTTAAATCTTTCCTGTGGCCGGGCATGGGGGCGCACGCCTGTAATCCCAGCACTCAGGAGGCTGAGGCAGGAGGATTGCTGTGAGTTCGAGGCCAGTCTGGGCTACAAAGTGAGCTCAGGGCCAGCCTGAACTGCATAGCAAGACCCTGTCTCAAAAAGACAAAAATAAATAAATAAAATAAAAAATAAATCTTTCCTGTGCATAGCACTTGCTCTGCTTTGAAGCAGCCTTCCAGGTGGCATTTCATCTGTAAGGTCAGTAGGGCTAAAAAAAAAAAAAAAAATGCTGGGGATATAGCTCAGAGGCATAAGTGCTTGCCTGACAAGCCTGAGGTCATGAGTTCGATTCCCGATATCAAAAAAAAAGGTCAGTAGGGCTGACGGCTTTGGTATCATTTCATTTGCGAGGCAGACAGAAGCTAAGCAGGTTACCGTAGGCCACACTGCCAGTTACAACAGACCTAGCCTCGCAACAAGGTTGCCTGACGCTGTTCCAAATCTTTCCTTCTCTGCCACCACAACAGAGACAATGCACTGTCTGCCCAGGTCCTCTACACTAGCACTCAATCAATATTTTCTGGTTGACTGGGCTGATACTAAAAGAGCAACCTAGTTTTGTCTTGAAGATAAAATAATAAATTTTCTGGAGAAAGAGAAGATAACGGGTTATATTAGCTGACATTTTAGCAGTTTTCAGCAAAATGTTTATGAAATATAATATGAATCCAATAAAGGATATTCCTTCTGTGCTTTATCACACAAAATGTAGTTGGAGGGGTCTGGGTTGGTAATCCTACCTACATGGGAGGTAATCCTAGCTACATGGGAGGCTGAGGCAGGAGGACTGAAAGTTGGAGCCAGCCTGGGCAACTTAGGAAGCCCTATCTCACAAAGGGGCAGGGGTGCTGGGAGTGTAGCTAGTGTGAAGGCTCTGGGTTCAGTCCTCAGTACCTCAGAACAAAACCAAAAAAAAGGTGTCTGGAATCACGTTTCAAGTGGCTCGTACAAAATGATATTCCTGCATTTGGCTAGCACTGAATACTTCGCTTGACCCGGTCTTTAGCTACGTTTTGGCCGCCTTCCAGCCTGCTCCAATTATGAGACGGCAGCGAAGGACCTCCTTTCTGACAGGAGGTCCTCCTCCTGCACGGTAAATCAGCGGGAGTCCCGGCCCGACTCTCTGTGGGGACGTGCTGCCCCCTGCTGCCCACAGGCGGCCCCAGTCAAAACACAATCTCTTTTCTGCGCGGACTTCATTTAAAAGCCCTGAATTTTTGAAGCCTCATGAAGTTAATAAGCCACAATGAGGTTCTCTCACAATTGGTTTTTTTTTTTCCTCCTCCAGATTTACTCAAATTCTCTCAGGTCTTAAGCTTCATCTAACAAGAAACAAATATAAAGAGAAAGCATGTGACTATTTTTAGATGTAAATTGAGTAAAAGATGCCTACCTCTAAGCATCCTAAGGTTTTAGTTGTTTTTGTTATTTAAAGAAACAAAAGAAAAAGAAGGAAATTTAGAATCTCTTTGGCAGCGCACCCTTGTAATCCCAGCACTTAGGAGGCTGAGGCAGGAGGTCACCATACAAAGTGAGGTCAGCCTGGGCTACACAGTGAGTTCAAGGCCGGCCTGAATTACATAATGAGACCCTGTCTCAAAAACCTAAAACAAAGAAAAAAGGAAATTTAATCTCTTTGCCCAAAATTTAAATGCAATGTCTCCATTGTGTTGGCTATGTAAAAAGACAGCCCCTTGGCTCCATGCTGATGAGATTATGGAAAGGATTTAACATTTATCAGTGTTAATATGGCACATCCCCTTTAAGCTGGCAATTCTATCTTTACGGATTTAGCTTATCAATAAACTTGTACAACTGCAAAAAGGTATGTGTTGAAGCATTTATTGCAGCATTGTTTTTAACAGCAACCGATTAGAAATCGCCTAATTACTCAAAAGTGGAGGCCTGGCCAAAGAAATGACAGCATATTGGACTGTAAGATATTATGAAGTCATTTAAAAGTGCAAAAGAAGCTGGACGTGGTGGCGCACGCCTGTAATCCCAGCACTCGGGAGGCTGAGGCAAGAGGATCCTTGCGAGTTCCAGGCCAGCGTGGGCTACAAAGTGAGCTCAAGGCCAACCTGAACTACACAGCAAGACCCTGTCTCAAAAAGACAAAAAAATTAAATTAAATTTTTAAAAAGTGCAAACAAGCACAATCTGTACTGTTGGAAATAAAGTCTCAGGTGAGAAAAGCAAGATTCATAACAGTGCCACAGTAGGCTATGGTGTTTTAAAAAGTCAAAGAATTTCCAAAGAACTTTGAGAAACATAGTCCTTATCACTGAGAGGAACTGAGTGATTGGGACACAGAACTGAGAAGCATTTTCCAGTGCAGACCCGCTTATTCTACTATTCACAAACAGATAACACAATTTAAATAAATTAACAAGTCAATACATCCTGCGGTCTTCTCCCTAACTCCCAAAGAACTAGTGTGCGGAAGAGCCAGCTTCCTCCACCCCCAGGAGCCTCCTTCGCACTGCCTCGGACTGTCCATCCTTTGACAACTGGGAGATCCCGCTCCCTCTGTGCGCCCAGAAGGCACACACACAAAAGCTTCCGGTAAAAACGAGCTCCAGAAAAATCACTTGGCAAACAGCAGCTCCCGGTCTTGCTCTCCCCACTGCTGCCGGCCTCGAAGCAGGAGGCTGTGGAGGGAGCGCAGCCCGCTGGGCACCGCCGCCTCCGGGAAAGGCCTGCGCTGGGGGCTCCTCCCCCGGCAAGGAGCTCCGCGATTCTCCGCCCACCGTGGGCAGGAGGCCGAGTCAAGGCCCACCTGGGACAACTGCCTTCTAGCATAAATGAAATCCCACTTCTGTCTCAAGAAAAGTCCAGACTGTTAGCGGGCAGTGGCCATTAGCCAGCCTGAGGGGCAAGGGCGGAGGGCAGGGTCCAACGCAGCAAAGTGTTGCCTGGGAAGGAAGGAACTGTCTCCTCCAGAGAGGCTCCACAGCCACCGCGTCTGTGGCTATGCGGAGAGGGTTTTAATCTTTCTAACAAAATATAATTTTCAGGAGAATATTCTCCTGATAACTTCCATCACTGAACTTAATAAACTGGCCATAACACTTTAAAAAAAGAGAAAGAAAGAAAGGAAGGAAGGAAGGAAGGAAGAAAGAAAGAAAGAAAGAAAGAAAGAAAGAAAGGAAGGAAGGAAGGAAGAAAGAAAGAAAGAAAGAAAGAAAGAAAGAAAGAAAGAAAGAAAGAAAGAAAGAAAGAAAGAAAGAAAGAAAGACACATTTCTAACCGTGAGCTAGGTCTCAGGCAATCCCACAGAGCACAAGGACATTTTAAGGCTACACATGGTGCCTGCTCCTTCGGATACCTGCCCGTCCGGCCCTCTAGTTCCACAAGGCATACAGCATTCCTGGCTGCCAGTGATACCAGGAAAGGAACTGTTGGGTGTTTTGTTTTGTTTTGTCTTTGTGTTTGTTTTTGAGACAGGGCCTCCCTATGTAGTTCAGGCTCCCCATGAACTCCCTTATGTAGCCCAGGCTGGCCTTGAACTCTCATTCATCCTCCCGCTCCAGCCTCTCAGTGCTGGGATTATATGCATGTGTCACAACACTGGGCAGGGAACTGTTTTTTAAAGACCCTCCTGTGCTGGGCTGGGACCTTGTTTAAATTAAGAACATATAAAATTCTTCTGTGATGAAAGCCCCTGAGGAAACACTGACCATCTAAAAAGGACAGGAAGACGTTTTCCAATTCCAAAGTCACTTCTAAGCAAGGTGCTGATAAGTACCATCATCACCCTAGTTCCTTGCATTCCAGGAGTAACTTCTTTTTTTTAAAAGAGAATAAAAAAATAACAAGAGCTGGGCATGGTGGAGCATATCTGTAATCCCAGCACTCGGGAGCCTGAGGCAGGAGGATTGTTGTGAGTTCGAGACCAGTCTGGGCTACAAAGTGAGCTCAAGGCCAGCCTGAACTGCATAGAGAGACCCTGCCTCAAAAAGACCAAAAAAAAAAAAAAAAACCAAGAAAGACAAAAACAAAACACAAAAACAATAAAAATGATACAGGATTTCAAAACAAAATGATAGGAATTAACAATGGTTGTTATATTACGTACTGTTATCTTCAGGGAAGTTGCCCAGACCACCAGATGTAAGAATACAAGATGGATCAAACAAT